TGCTGAACATGTGTAGTATTTAAACAATATCACCTCTACCACTCTGTGATGGGAAGCTTTTCATCTTAGCTGTGAGTGTGGCTTTTCAGAAAAGCTAAAAACAGTTAATTGTATAACTGTGATTTTGCAACTGTATTCAGAAACACAAAAGCAGCGGTTTAACACAAAAAAAGGGGAATATTGTTGCATATAATGTCAAAAGTGTTGAGGCTGCAGCTCTGGTCTCGGCAGCTCTCATAAAACCCACATCGCTATGACAACCGGTGGTTTGCTGTTTCGTAAGCAGCGAAAAGAGGCTCTCTTCCCAGCTGTGTTTCCATGGCTCTCCTCAGCAGTGATACACACAAGATGTACTGTACAACACTGATGACATTTAGAAATCCACTGATACGCTTACCACTGAGACAGCATTTCACCCCTGATGTAATTATCTTAATCCCATTTCAATCCTAGATCTCTGTTCGTTGTAATACTGTTAATAGTTGTTATGGACCCTGCTAAGAGCAGCGGTATCCTTTGTAATTACTAATGGGTCTAAATAAGCAATAAACAACCAGCCATAGATAAATTATGAGACAGCGAGTCCCTGGTCACTGATATGTTGAAGGCCCCCCACCTCTTCTAACTACAGTAGGAACAAGACATCGAGACTGAAAGAGACTTCACTAACATTTCGCAGATGAACCAGAAATCACAGAGGACAAAAAAAAGGCTCCAGATAACTGTTTGTAGTTATTTTATGTCTCTCTGTAGTCACTGTGTGTCACTTTATAGCCATTTTGTGTCTCTTTGTGGTTGTTTTGCTTCTCTTTGCCATTGCTTTGTGTCTCTTTGTGGTCAATTTGTGTCACATTGTATTCATTTTGTGTCTCTTTGTGATAATTTTGCATCTTTTATGGCCACTGTGTGTCTCTTTGGAATCATTTTGAGCTTCTTCATGATTGTTTTGCATCTCTTTGCGGCCATTTTGTTGTTATTTTGTGTTGATTTGGGCTTGTTCATTAATCCATACATGCTACAAGCGAACTATATTTAACATGGGAAATTCACTTAAGTATCTGAGCAAGCAAGAGTACATCAGACTTCATTTTGTGGTAAGATGAAGAAAATCTAATTAAATGCATTGTGCTGATGTTTTGTATGTTCTTGTAACAAGACTTGAAAGCTGTATTGCATAATATCAGAGGTGCTTACCTTGTCTCTCCTCAATTCACTTCTTTCCTCATTTTTTGCCACCCAGGATGGCACTTCCCTACGGCGGCTTCGAAGGGGCATCTAAGTTGTTGACCTTTGGGCTCCCAGAGCTTAGCGCTGCCACTGAGGAGCCAGAGACGTTGGCCAGCCTGGAGACTGACATCCGCTCACGCCCCTCATTCAACCGTACACCCATCGGCTGGGTCTGCAGTGAGGACAGCTCACACATCCCCCTGTACCTGGACAACATCCCTTTCGATGGAGAGACAGATGATCTGTGAACATGCATGCAGACACAAACATGCTTATAGTACTGGTAGCCTGAAAGACACACACACACACAAGTACTGTACATGCACTGGAACTATATAACTATATACTGTATATATAAGAGCAAGAGATCACAATTTACACCAGTTTAAAACTGTTGAAGCTCCTGTGAACACATGCTGAAATGTTCTTTAATTGCATGTAATCAGCATAATTTAAAAATGAGTTGATGGAAAAGGACAACGTGTCTCCCCTGGTCTCCTGTGCTTTCCTACTTTTTCATATGCAGCTGTGAATGAGTCAGTAGAATTTTGCATACTGTGAGCTAATGTGAGACCTGTGTGAATATACATATAGGCAGGCACTCTGCATTCTTAGAACAGTCTATAAATGCAATAAGCTTCCCCTTCACAGAATGTCTGTCTTCTTGTCCTGTTGATGCTGCATGTGCTAGTCCTGGAGAACTGTCATTACAGTATTGAATAATAAAAACAAACCAATCTCAACTCAAGGTCCTATTACTATTTCTTTCTGGAGTTTTCAACCACACTTTTCATTGGATGGAGTTGCTGAATACCATTCTTGAACAGGGCTTATGATATCCCCCTAATATGCAACCACCTGCTGACCAAAATTCATACTTAAGACACATGATGACACCTAAGCCATCTCTATAATAATAAACCCCTTCTGAAAACCATGGAATGTGGTTGAAATCTCTGGAAATGTGGCTACTGTATGATCTAAGCATTTGTCTGCTACTATTTCCAAGGTCAAGAATGAACTAAGCAGCTTCTGAGGACCCCCAAAATAAGCAAGTTACAAATCATAGGGGGCTCTGTTAACTTTCATTCCACCATTGAACTGATATGCAAAAATGCCCAAAATATTGAAATATTTACTGTATATTTTCAGTGTTAACATGCTGTCTTTATAAATACCTCCAACTTGAAGGTATAGTTTGACATTTTAGAAAATAAACATATTTATTTTCTTTCTGACTGAGTCCAAAAGTAAAATCCACCAACCAGCCCCTCTAAAATGCACTAAATAATACTTAATATCTTCTTTGTTTAATTCACACAAAAACCAAAGTGCAAACAACCCTTATTTCAGTCTTTATGTTAAGGTAAGCTTACCTTTTATTTATTTTGGTATTGACCTTCTCATCAAATGCTCTGCACGAAAGCCAATCTGCATATTTTCAAAAATGGAGAACTATTTCTTTAAATCTTTACTTTCAGAACACAGCATTTTTTTTTTTAGGTAAATTTCTCCCAGAGCAGTTTTAAAAACAATGGGCGGGCCTGGTATGGGTTGACTGCTTGGACCACCCCTGTCAAGAGACCTGGAGTGACCAAAACATAAGATTTTATTGCAAAGTTGCAAAATAACACTGCATGTCCTCTAACAAGTTATTAAAATAACTGAAAATCTTTTTTCCTTTTGCATGCTTTTGTGCTAAACTAGACAGTGTCTCCATGATCTCTCACCTACTCTATGAATAGGCAGTGTCTTCAGGCTGTGGCTGTAAACTGTTGCTGGCAGGTCTCCAGTGACAGCAGTTAAACAGATGGCCTCTACATGCACTGGTGAAAGAAGTTCCTATACTTAAATACCAATGCCACGCTGTAAAAGAACTCTGTTAAAAGCAAGTTTCCTGCATTGGAATGATACTTAAGGAAACGTAGTTAAAATGAGGAAACGAACATATCTGCTATCTAATTTAAATAACCTTAACTTACAGGCATTTCTGCTGCATTCTTTTTTTTGTCACAGCCTGGAGTTTGACTGTCAGATGGTAAAATGCAAGTAACCTACCTCAAATTTGTACAGTATTTTAGTAAACCAACCTAATTACACTGCACTGCTGTCTGCTTGTTGTTGACAGCAGGTTACATGTGACAGTGGAGGCGTGTGCTCAAACAGGTGAGAGACCACGGTCAGCAACGGGATGACATCATCATCATCCTCTTTTCGTCCAGTGCCCGGGAGGCGGCGGCATCGGGCTGAGCAAACCTCTTGATAAAACCGCTACGTCACTCACTCATAAACGAAGAGCTTGAAGATGGCACGGTATCGCGAGAGCGGCGTACCGCGTCCGCAACGCAGGGTATCGCCAGTGGGAGCTGAATTCGCCCGCGGCTCGTCCTCTTTCCCGTTAAATCACACCGCAAGACGCGCGACCGGACGGAGACTGATGTCGACAGCACCTGGGGTGAGTAAAATCCTGTACTCCGCGCACTTCACAGGTTCCGTCACTGCTGGAGAAGATCGGGGGATGCGCATGTGACTGTACGGGATGAAATACACCGTGTGTGGAGTGTCTCTCTCTATGTGTGTGTGGTCACTGGGGGCCAGTCAGTGTGTAGGCCAGATGTGATTCTCTACAGATGTGTCCTCGTGACAGTCTCTGATGCCTGTCACCTTCTCCATCATCATCATTCCCTCCATCATCACCATCATTACTCTCATCAGCAGCACGGGCGATGATCTTTGCTCGCGCTGCTCTTTCTGCCGCTGTTGTTCTCTGTCTTGTCCGTTTTATTTAATTTTCAGGTGGTCTTAGGTCGGTAACCCACTGTCCCTGGTGTTTTACGGTAGTGGCTCCTTAAACGGGCAACAGCATCGTTTCCCTCAAGTTCACGGTGTGCAACCGTGCCGTTTTCAGTTACAGGTGTGTTATTGTTTAGGCCGTCCCATTCAGCCATTCAGGTGCGTACAACTACTGCGTGCGTCCTGGACTGCGTGTTTTAGGCTCCTGTTTTGTTTAGAGCGCGATGTTTGGCGGACTGTACACTGTGTGAACTTGTTGATGGATGTTCGAGAGACCGCAGTCTTTTACCGAGGCGGATTCACGCTCAGCTGTTATCGCTCCCTGGGGCTGCTATTGATTTAAGGTTGCGTTTCAATCCGCGAGATTGATGACTTTGGCTCCTTACCGAGCCGCATCACTGCCTGCCATACTGTCACATTAACGACGGTGACGCGGCCCTCTGCTGGGTGCCTCACACACGTGAATGCTTACAAATAAAGGATTAATGACCATCTTCTCTTTTTCCTATACATCATTATGCAGGAGCGCATATTTTTGTTTTAGAAATATTGAATTGATTTACAGTGACTCCTGAAGCCTTATTCTAACCTTAACCAGTCCAAACACAAACCTAACCCTTATATTAACTTTATCCTGCGTCTGACTTTATCCCCAAACTGAATAATGCTTAACCTCTCCATAGGGGAGATAAAATTTGCCTGGTTGAACAGGTTTATGCCCCCACTACATTGTAAAACCACATGAGAACACACTCAGCTCCAGCAGGACACTTCCACCATCCAAACTGAGATGAAATGTCGCCTTGACATTTAAGTTGGACTTATCATCAATTTTAGTTTTTGGAGATGAAATGCTCTGGAAATCTGTGTGTATGAGTGTGTGTGTGTGTGTGTGTGTGTGTGTATTTGCAGCGGGTTACTGGGCAATACCCACACTTCTTATTTTAGCTTAGAATCATCATCATCATCGTCAGAGCACAACTGTATTGAATATGATATACAGCTTCCACATCTTATGACCTGTCACTGCAGCTACTGTAGCCTTGTCCTAAGATGCTTTATGCTGTTTGAGCAGCAGGGATGACCTGGAAGTCTAACTCACATTACATTTAGGTATAAAATAGTTTGTTCTTAAGCCTCAGTCCAGTTGGAGACACTTCCAGAAAAGCCTGGCTTCAGTCTCAGAGCAGTTCTATGTGGGGGTGTTCCCGCTGGCATTAAACCGATCGTGGAGGTTTATGTAGTGCTGTGTGCCACTGTGGACAGTCACACAAACTGACATCCTCAGCTCTGTGGATTCGATCTCCATGCTCAGATCTGACTTTGGTTCTTGGCTTAGTTATTTCTTCAAAATAATAATTACCAAATCATCCATCATGTGTTGAAAAGGGTTAACCAATCTGTTTCAGGGTTTCAGTGATTATTTTGACAAACTTAAACATACATCTAATCTTCGTTTAGATTCTGCTCTTTAATTGTTTTAAATCCTCTGAGTATGTCTTTCTGGATGTGGTCCTGCCTGACTGATCTTGCATTGCGTCTCAGTTTCCCAGAGGACTTGTCCCCTGTTGATATTTAATTTACAGCATTCGTACTCCAGTGCATTGGGGTGTGTTCATATGTATGGGATTATAGCAGGGTTGCTGTATAATGTAGAGCAGATTAAGTCAGAAGGAGGAGACCTTTACCATCCACTCTTTCTCTCTTTTCCCCTTAACCAGTCCTCTTTGACATGTCCCACTTATTCCTCTCCTCTCTTTCTTCCCACTGCCCTGTTCTCTTATCATCCTTTTTCATCTTTTCTCATCTCCCCTCTTTCCTTCCCTCACTTTCTCCTCTCTGATCTCTCTTTTCTCCTCTGTCTCTCCTTCTTTCCTTTTCTCTGACCTCCCCCCTTCTTTTTCCTCCTTCTTATCCATTCCTTGCCTCTCCTCTATCTTTCTCTTCATCACCATGAGACCCCATTTCTCATCCTCTCCTCTCTTTGTACTCTGACCTAAGCTGTCAAAGCCTCCCATGATTCCCAGCATGCATCAAAATACAGATGGTTATGTAATAGCCTAAATATTAAGCAAATATTCAATTTCTACTAATAGGATTGGAGGTGCACATGTGCCATGATGATAATGGACTGCATCTAGGTTATAGTGTGCATGTGTGTAGCTGTGTTTGTGTGCATGCATGTGATTGCATGTGCATTCTCACATGTATACTTTAATGCTGAGTAGGGAAATGACCTTGAAGCTTGCAAAAAGATCTTAGTCTCGGTAGTATGCTAATACATGCAGGTGTGTGCACTGTATGCTCACACACACACACACACAATGTATGTACAGTATACATTTCCTTTAGATTCATCAAACTGGAAAAGAGGGGGAGAAAGAGAAGCACGGAGGGGAGGATGAACTCTGGGTTCTCCCTATTGTCAACTAGGGCTATTTGAAGTTACACATAACCCAGTTACAGGGAAACCACTGTGTGTCTGTGTGTGTGTGTGTGTGTGTGCACATGCATGTGCAGTTTTTTGGAAGCAGAAAGGACAGAGACACAGATGAATGGGGGAAGAAGTGAAGAGAGTGAATGAAAAATAGAGGAAAGTGGAAGAAAGTGAGACAGAGAGCAGGAATTAAGTGAATGGGGAGGAGAGAGGAAAGTGAAAGCACAGTTTGTGAAAGAAGCGATCAAGACTTCTGTTTCCAGCAGGGATATATAAATATGCTTCTGGCCATTGTGTTTGCTTGAGTGGGAGAGAGACAGTGTGAGAGACAGGCTATTGTCCTCAGGGACAATGTCAGCTCTTGTTTAGCTGGCGTGACACTGGTGTCACTGTCACGAAGTCACATTAACCCACAGCAGAGAGAAAAAGACAGAGACAGTGACAATAAATTCATACTGTAAAACAATTTCATTAACAGCATTTTACTCAAGATGCTGGATTTTGAAATGCATCCTGCTCAGCTGAAGGGAATAAATAGATTGGAGAACATAACAGCATCAACATGAAAAAAGAGATCCTTTTTATTACTGTTGAAAGCTTTGGAAGATGAAACCAAAGAAATATGTGACCTTACAGGGAAGTAAAAGTCTGTGGATACTCCCCTTCAAATATTTTTGTGGACTTTTAGGAGGGAAAACTACATCATTGGGTAGAAAGACAAAAATAAGGTGAGAGATGACAAATCAACTAATAATTTTTTAAAAAAGGAAAAACTAGCAAAAGTAATGTGTAAATGTCATGGGAGTCACAGTAAATTAGTCACAGAAAATGGAATATCACAGCAAGTAGAGTTCTTATTTGATGCACTAGTGATTGTAGGAGTAGTAACAGCAGTGGAGGCAGAAAAGTAGAAATATAAAAGCAGCTCACAGCTGTGTCCTCTCTGGCTTCTATTGATCTGCAAGTAATCATCTGCTGTCATATTGACACATTCATTCAACATTAAAGATCAATATTAAACCTACAGTAACTCCTTATGTCCCAACCATAATACTGTATGTTTCCTTACGTAGTTTACGAGTCAGATAAATAATTTTTCATGGCATCACATGTACTGTCTGTGACTGCTTGTTTAAGAGATTTGTTGAAGCGGTATCACAACTTAATAATGTGTAAAGCACACTGAGTGGCCAAAATGTCTCCAAAAGTAATTTAACATTCTTGCAATGAATGCCTCTTTTGTGGGAGTTAAATCAAATGACAGTGCCCATGTTCTTGGTAATATTTCAGAAGGTTTTGGATGAAGTCATGTTACCACCACATATCTGCAGTTATTTTACATTGACAGTGTGATAATTAGGGAACAGTCAAATAAATAAATAAAAAAATAACAAAAAAGTTATCTAAAGTTCAGTACATACATGTACCCATGTGGGTTTGAACCCCCTAATCCACTTACCTTTCTGAGTTTGATAGACTTGTATCTTGACTCACTCTGGCTTCCAAGAATGCACTACCATCAATACACATCATCATAACATAACTCGCAGGCCCTGTGTGTGTGTGTTTGTGTTTGCTTTCTCAACCAGTGCAACACAGTGTGTCTCCTTGTTAAATCACATGGTTCAGCTTTTTACCCACGTGCCTGCTGCTTGGCCGATTTCCATGGCAACTAGCCAAAGATGTGGGGACACACACTTACACGCACCAACATACATACACAGATGCGCACACATACAAATGTACACGCATGTACTGGCCACGTCAACAGCACTTGTGCGAGGGCTTGCCAGAGTGATCTTGGTGGTGTGTGGCTGCAGGGTGCAGTCAGAGAGAGGATGTGTGATCACACACTCCACACGGGCTCAGCGGGAAACACATGCATACACACACACACTTGCGCACACACACAGAGACAGAAGCTTAGGATGCTGTTCTGTAGAGGAAAAATGACACACAGGGGCATGCCACTCAAATCCCTTCATAAATCCTCTGGTAATTTAGATTTGTTTGTTACTGGATATGTCAGTATATATATATATATATACTGACATATATATATAGATAGACTGTGTGATAAGTAGATGGAATGGCACTGCAATGTTTCCTTCCAGATTAGCTATGATGTATTTTACTTCCTTCTGTCCTTGTCACTCCCCTACCTGCATTCCATCCCTTCATCGCCACACCTCACCATCCCAGTCCCATGTGCCCATCTCCATACCTACATCCCACGCAGCTCACCTGCTCATACAGCATCCCTGCGCCCTTTGGCCTTCTGCCAAGGGTTGCTGTGGCAGCAACACAACCCTGCAACTAGGCAAGGGAGCTTTGCCAAATGTTGGGAAGCTATAGGGGATGGAAGGGAGGGAGACTGGAGTGGGGGCACTGCGGATCTGTTAGCTACTGCCCTGTCTTATGCAGCTTTATGTATACACCCTGATACATATACTGTACTGTGACAAACACGCACAGCCTGCCTGCTCATTTTACACAATTGTGCATGGCAGTGTGAACCAGCAGCAGCTGCAGATAATGTCCCTAAGTATTGATTATAAAATGACATAACAGATTTTTGCATGTTACCCTGACTGTGTTCATTTGATGATTTTCATAATTCATGGTGCAAAAGCAATTGAAGCGACACATTTAAATTAATCAATTTTTGGCCACAAGGGGGCAGAAGAACATATGAACAAGCTGACAAATACACAGCCACTTCATTAGCTTTATCAGTTGTCATTGCTAACATGTTAGCCAACAGCTGTCTTATATAAATTCATTTGGTGCTGTGTTTATGTTACTAGCAGTAAGTTTACTATTCACTCTTCTTTTAGCTCAGTTTTGGTCTCTTGAGAAAAATATTTATTTCTTTTGCTGTTAAATGTTCAACTATCTCTGCTAGCTAATTGCTAATTTTGCTCTTTGGTGCTGGGGAGGTAGGGTACAGTGGCGTTATCGGCATTAGTTTCTGTAAACAAGGGTTAACAACAGTGGGGAGACCAAAGTAAGCAGTTCTAAAACAGTTAGCTAAAAAGCTGCATATCTTATTGTTAATTCTACCTCAGAGCTGTGCCAGCTTTTCACACTGCATGAACTTTTCACATCAGTTAATCTTTTGGGTCAGGGTAGGGCAGCAATATTAACTAACTAGCTAACTATGGAGCTGAACTCCACCAGTTGAAGTTGGACTGTAAATACTAACACCTGTAAGACATTGTGAAAATTTCAGTACAGATATGTCATCATCAGTCAGATAAGAAAAGTTTTGCCTGCAGCAGGTACATTTTCAAACCAGGAGAGAGCATATAGTGTACCTCCGGTTTTATCTCCCCTAACAGCATTTGGAGTTTTTATCTGTATTGCAGCAACACTCTCCTTATACAGTATTTTATGCATTATATATAAAGTTAACTGGTCAAACAGATATGTGCTTTGTTTAATTCATTTTTATAACCAGTTGGTGGTTCTTGTTGTTTTGTGTGAGGAGTCTTAACAGTTTGGTCTCTGTGCCCTACAGGAAGAGTGAAAGAGAAGAAAACATCTAAGGAGGCCACACAGAGGAACAGTAGTGCTGTCTGACAGAATCTGCCAAAGGACGCTTTGGACACATTGTCATGTCCTCAAACACTAACGGTTAAATCCAAGGATCTAAAAAAGAAAAAAAAGCCAACTGCTGGCTTCAGCAAGTGGACAGATTTTAAAATTAAAACACGGCTGGAGAGGGGGAGGGTTGCATGGGTGCCAAATCCTCACCCAAGACGCACCACATCAACTCGATCTACCACCACTGCCTCACTCCTCTTCCTCTGTCTATGTCCTCCTCCTCCTCCACTTTTCTCTCATTCTCTCTATTTCTCTCTCATGGGAGTAACATAGAGGCCATCACTTGGTCTGCTGTCCCGCCCCTTCCCTGCCCCGCTGTGGAAACGGTGGCGTCCAGGTAGTGATGTCGTGGAAGAGGAACTACTTTGCGTCAGGTGGCGGAGCAGTAGGCGGGGTGCAGGGGCTGGTGACCCCAAGAACCATGACCTCTATCGCACCCAGCAAAGGTCTGAGCAATGAGCCAGGACAAAACAGCTGCTTCCTCAACAGCGCTCTGCAGGTAAGTTGGATAAACATAAAGGCACATTCACACCCCTGAATTTAGGGCAGTCAGAAAGTATTAAGGGAGTAGCACAGATATTTAGGAGCTCTTGACTGGCCAAGTCAGGCACCTGATGTGAATCCACTGGCTCATGTCAGCTATTTTTAGTCTGTTGTGTTTAATCAAATGTTCACAAAAGTAAAATAAAAAAGATTCATCCAGTTGTCCAAAGGCTCTAAATAGTTTGGACAGTTTCAGTAGCAGTTTGTATGTGGAACCTTTGGGACACTGCACTTGCTGAAGTCCAGGCTAAAGCCCAAAATCTCAGGGACAAATCAAGTTAGCTGTTGATGTCTATTTTATATTTGTATCTATTTAAACTTTATTTCACCAGGAAAACCTCAATGAGAAATAAAAATCTCTTTCTCAAGATTGTCCTGTCTAAGACAGGCAACAACATCAATCCTTACAAATAACACAGATACAAATAAATCCATAACAGCCTTTCATTAGTCATATGAAACCTGTAAAAACAGAGTCAGACATACTATTTTAAGGCATTCAAATAAATAAAATGATCAGACATCTTGACAATGGCTAGTACTTGTTGCAGCACTGACTCCATGCAACAAAGCTTTAAATCTACCCAAAGTAGATTCCCTCAGTCATTTCACTGAGCTCCATCTGCAGAGAGTTCCATGTATGAAGAGCAGTATAAAAAGGCTCCCTTACCAAATTCAGTTTTAACCTTTGGTACAGTCAACATTATCATGTTCTGTGATCAACGAGGATAAGAACTCCCAACTTTCCTTTCCATGTATGTGCACAGATACGCTGGTAAACATGTCACAGACTGATATGAGCCGCAGACTCACATAATATGATGACTTAATTTGATTATATGTCACCATAACTTGACCATTTACATTATAGACAACTGTGGTAAAACAATTCCTAGACTGATTATCTGATGTGCTTATGTGCCTCTGTAATAAAACTGAAGAACAGCAGTTTGTTCACATAATGTCCGTTTAGTTTATAATCCACTGTGCTGGTGTACAGCGCCACTTTCATGTTAAAATACTTAAAACACAGGCTATTACAGATATAAAAGAATAATTTCAATCATTGTAGTGCTTTATTATAACAGAAGTGGTGTCTCTTCTGAAATGTTAATAACAGTTATGTCTCTAATACTCTTCATATTTTTGTATTTACAATTTAGAATGTATGGGTTGTGTTTATGCATGAGTAAAAATAGCTGTTACTTTCTAATAAGGCATTTTACATAAAGAGATAAGGTGCCCTATGTCTGTATTCTAGTGACTGCTCTAAATGCTTGATACAAACATGCACATTCTTGCATTTACTGTTGAGATGCTCTCCCCTGCCCTGCTCACACTGCAGTAAATTGATATTTAAGCATGACAGGGATGAGATTAGCGCCATATTAATGAGTGTTCGCATGTTTTAGGGGGTTTTGGCACTGCTGCTGGTCTGGCCTCAATGTGGACATCCAGTCTGTGTGGGGATGCTTACACTGCGCTGCTACTGCTGCATCTCCTCTCTCTCTTTATACACATACAGATGCACTCTTGCCTCCTCCCAAGGCTTCCAGCTGGCACAAACTTACTCTCACACGCATGTGCATGAGCACACACACATACACACACACACACACACACACATACATATATATGCCTCTTGACTACTGGCTTGAAAGCGAGAGAGAGAGAAAGGGGGAGAAGAGAGAAAGGTTGGAGTAAGCTGAAGAGGGAGGGTGGTGATGAGGCAGAAGCTTAGGGAGAGCTGAAGGGAGCAGAGGGATAGATGAGAGGAAGTAAAGTTAGTGAGGGAGGAGAAGAGAAGAAAGAGGGATGAGGAGTATACTGTATGAAAAAACTGAGGAGAAAACTGGTGGGGATACTGCCGGGAGAAAGAGTGGGATTAAAGAGCCGAATAAGGTAAGAAGAAAAATGAGTGCCTGTGATGACAGGAAGGATGGGATGGAGACAAGAATCAAGAGATGAATAGACAACATGAAGGGCATGAAGTTTATTTATGAAAAGAAAAATACCTCAGCCAAGGCATGAAAGCAGCTTGAACGGGTAGAGAATTGGGCCACTTCAAGGGCACATACACATCTACACAAACACAGAGGAGAGAGGATTTTAGCAGGACATGGATGACTGAGGATAAACTGAGGGAATGTTGTTTTTTACAGGGTATTTCTTTGTTTGCATATGTGCATGCATGAACAGTAAGGGGTCAAAGTTCAAGTCTAGGACAGACTCGCCCTATTAGCAACAGTGCTGCAACTAAAATATTTTTTTATTATTAGTTTATTATTACTGTTTGCTTGGTTGATAAAATTTACTATGGCACAAAACTGAGAGTAAACCTCACCTTTAATGAGCTGGAGCAAGAGTGCATCTTTTAGCATTTTTCCTTTGGTATGAATAATCGATTATCTAAATTGTTGTCAGCTGATTGCTTTAGGACTGCAGAAGCAGACTCTGTTTGTTCTCTGCAATGTTTAATAATCTACTACTTGTGTATTAAAATACTCTCTACTGCTTTCTTGCCCCTACAAGCCCCCTGAGCAAGACAGTTAACCCCCTGCCACTGCAGGGGATCTGCTGGGTAGCAGCAGAAGCATCATCAGCAGTGGCTGTTCTGTGTGGATGTGACTGCTGCAATTTAATAAGAGTGTATGTACATGTTTTGGGATCTATTCACTGTGTAAACACAGTTTCAAATTAAATACCTGAAGAAGTTATAGATTACACTGGCTTTGAGGGAGCAGAAATACGTGGGAGCAGTGTGTGTGTACATCTGTACTGTGTATGTATGATGCAGTGTAAGGAAGATAAAGTTGAAAATGGAAAGTGAGCTTGTACTGGGACTTCAGAGTAAATCAAAGATTAATTGTAAATAAAGGTGGGAAATCTGACTAAAAGATAATATCACAATCTTTTTAGCCACAATCACAGTCCTGGATCTGAATTGTGATCTTTCTTCCTAACTTTGAAACATGCTGTAACGTACAGCCAGACTAGAAATAGTCTATTTGTCATTTGTCTATTTGCACGATTAAAACAAATTTGCATTCAAGTCACTACACTGGTCTCAAAATTATGATATGGCTGTACTGGCTTATGTCAACCTGAGGGACAAACTCTCGATATTCTCCTTCAGATTCTTTCTTTTCGGGTGATTTAACAGATTCATAGTTTTGCCACCTGCTGTACTGTACTTACAGTTACCTGATAAAGTTTGCAGAAACCTGTTTTCTGAGTCACGTCTGACTGGAATAGACAAACCATTTCATTATAGAAGTTGAGCTCATTTTAGGTACCAAGTCTTCCTCTGCTGTACCGCTGCTAGCCATGCTGCTACCCATGTTACACTGTTTACATGTACATCACATTATGGAAGAAAAAGTGCACTTGAAAATCTGACTGTGTTTCAGATGGGCTTGATCTCCTTTCCATTTAACTATGCTATGTTACAAGCAGCACCACCATGACCAAATGAAATGCATGTAAAGAGACACCCGAAGTAATCTATCTAGCCACCATAAGCTATATCATTTGACTGTATCATTCTACTGGTTTGTTGACATCAGTTGAGTGGATTTATGCTATTAATTCTTTTTGAAATTATGTTGTGAAGTTTGCAAACACAAGTCGTCCAAATGACACAATCTTCACAATTCACTAAAATGAGAGATTGGACATGTTTGAGATTGCTCACAACATGAGACTGTCAGATCACGCACCCCCTATTGTAAGTGTCCAATGTTTCCTGCAGTTTTTTATGATCAAATCTAACTACAGATTAATCTGAAAGTTTAACTGCTGTGTGCTTTCAGGTGTACTGAGAAAAGGGTTTCCAGCAGGGCATGATAAATGAGGCATCCTGTTACTGAATCTGTGTTGGATTGACTTGGGCAGAGTTTCACAGTATGCTGTAAAGTCGTTTATACAAAGTCGTATATACAATTGCCCACAGTGAGGAAGAACTTGAAGAGAAACTACAAATTAAACATACAGTTTAGTGGTAACTTTGGCTCTTTGGTTTGCTTCAGGACTCATTACAGAACTGGTTCCTGTAATCTGCTATGCTTCTGGGGCAGCATACTGAGCAATAAGACCAGATATTTGCTTGCTCACAGTTTATGAAGTGGCGATATTATGCTGATCTTCATCACCTGATAAACAGTGGATGGTAATCCAAGAAAATATCCTTTCATAATAAGCAGCATGATGTATCTGCTTTTGAGTAACACAAAAAGCATTCATTAAATGTCACTGACTGAATCCTGCCACAAAGAGCCCAGATAGCAAAACACCATCATAACATCAAATGTGATTTTATGGTTTTAATTTCATTCTAGGTGAAGGAGTGAATTCTTAAGCTCAGCATGATGTTCAAATAGCTGCCCTTATTTTCAGACCACAGAAGAAATAGAAAAGTCAACACATTCAGTTTTATGTTTGGATTAAGTGTTGCCAAACTACTGTTACGTTCACTGTGAAGTGAAAGCCATGCTTCTCTTGCTGCTACTCATCGTCCTATTGGACTCCTCATGTTATTGTGTTGACTTGCCACAGTTTGCCGTGGCTTCAGGTCGGCACAAGCAGAAAGTGCTGTTTCATATGCTGAGTTTAAATGAAATGGAGAACATGCCCATCCTGCACTAACTGGCACCATGCTGGTCAGGTGCCGGGGCTTCCTGTTTACATTTTCCAATGCATTATGGGAGCTGTAGTTACAAAAGATAAAGGATTATTATTATCCAACAAACTGAATTTAGGCAAAATGATGGTTCAGTGTGAAAACACAATGTCCCATCGATGCGTTTCTTATGTTACACAATGATTGGCTCTCTCCTCTGTCCATTCATATGCAGTTATGTGCAGTGTGTTGAAATCCTGCAGACATAGAGGCAAAAAGCCCAAACAATTTCAAACTGTGGAGTTTGGTGGATGCAGCTGTTTTGATGAGTCCGAGTGGCAGTTACCCACACCAATGTTTTTATGTTTTCGGTTATATCCATGTTCTTCCTGGAATTACATCCCAAAAGATCTATTAAGGACAAGGGGGAATATACTCATGGGTTAATGAACGGACTGGGAGCAGGTACAATAGTCAGTAGCGAGGTAAGTTGATGATGAGTGGTGGGAAGGGAATAGCAGGAACAGCAGCCATGACAAAGACATTTTTTTACAGAAACCATTGACATGTCACAGTAGGATAAGCACACCTGTGACTAATAAAAATAATAATGGCTGAATTCCATTTAGCTGTTTAAGTTTTAGGGTCCTGGTCTTGTGCATACTGTACCACTGTAACACTTTTTTAGCATTTCACTGCCCATACTTTTTCTACTAGACAACACAATAGCAGACAGATGCCTGAGATCGGAAGTGCAGAGGGAGAGACAGAGAGCCTGTGGTCATGGTAACAGAGGACCAGAACAGGAGGAGCTCATATCATGAAGGGTAGAGATCAAGCAGCGCAGGCCTTGACAGTAGAGTGAGGCAGGTAGACGTCAGAGAATGAGAACTCAGGTGTCTTGTTTGAATGTGGCTGGTGTTGAAGTCAGTGGTCTGCCAGATGTTGCATTACTTCACTATGACAACAACAGTGTTTCCTGTCATTAATGATGACAGCTGTCTCTCTAATTCTGAAGGATTAATCTAAAAAGATTTTAGATTAATCTGTTGACAATTTTATTTGTTGGATTTGTGCTCAGAGACCATTTTTACAATGGTATGAATTACACATTGTTTATAATAAGGAGTTTATAAGTCAGAGCTAATGACTTTACGTGTAATAAATTCTTCACTTATTTGTACAGTTGAGTTTTAAGCCATCAGTTCAACTCAAATAAACATTAATGCAGTTCTTTATCAGAATGACCCATTTATTTCACAGAAAAGACCTGCAGAGCATCGGAACAAAAATCCATTTATTAGAGTAACAAATTATTGACTTTACAGCTTCAGACCATTAAAAAGCCACTAGTTACAATCCATAAACCTCGTGTAATGTGTACGTTATGGCGTGTAAACAAAGACCTACAGCTAATCAGTGATACAAATCAGGGTTTCCGCAGGTCTTTAAAAAAGTCTTTAAAAGTCTAAAATTCAGTAGTCTCAAACTTAGGCCTTAAAAATACAATTTTGACAGGTCTTAACAAATTATTGACAGTTACATTAGGTTAAGCTGATAATTTTAACATTAATTTGACATTGCTTCTGAAATGCTGCTATAATTTCAGTCGTGCCTTTATGTGTTTTTTGGAAAATTTTGAGGAGACAAAGTAGTGCCGCCTGGGAGCAGCTGGAAAAAGCTTCCTAAAAACATGAGCTGATGTGGTCAGTTTGTATTCCGTGATGTCTCCATCACTTTTTATGCTTGTTAGCTAGTTATACTGTAATTTCCTTTCTGCAAGATGTTCCTGCGGTCTGTCCATTGTTTTCAAGCCAGGGAGAGAAAGGAAAACAATAAGGGGAGGGAGAAAGAAACAAATGGTGGAAGAGCAAAGCTAGAAAGAAAGAGAGAGAGAGGGATGTGTTTAGATGAGGAGAACAGAAAGGTAGATAGATAGGTAGATAGGTGGATTTGATGGGCATGATAGAGAGTGCCCTCCTTGTGGCTGCTGCAGTGCTACGCAGGGGAGCCAATTCATCACGACCAGATAAACTACAGAGAGAGAGGAGGGGAAACAGGGTGGGTGGTGGGTGGGGGGATAGAACGCATACAGTAGCGTCAGCATGCAGTCTGTCATCCTCCACCCCCTCTTTCCTCCACTGATCACTCTCTCCTTAACAAGCACACATTCATATTAGTTTTGTGTGTGGTCCTGTGCATGAGTGATGCAAATCCGATTGAAGCCTAAGGGACAATGTTGTGTCAATATTATCTTTCAGCATGCTGAATGAAACTACTAAGAGCTCTTTCTTTTAATTATGCACTAGAGAGGGTGAGAGAAGGACACAGAGAGGTCTATTCCATGTAGAACACTTCTCTGCTAGTTTCTGTATTCTGTATTCTGTATTCTTTTTCATTTCTTCATGCATTGTGCTGCTTGTTTTCTGGCTTCATCTCCTCCTCTGAGTTTCTTTTGCTGCTGAAAATATGCAAAGTACAAAGCACACTCAGTAGGAGCTGTTGCAGAAAACAATTAGCTGAAAATGGCTGAAAGCCACACAGAGCTGCACATTGTGCTTTTGATTCTTTGCAGCATTACAGAAAGTCATTTTATTCAATTGTATAACAAAAATTGTTTAGATTTTAAAGCTACAGAAAACTTGATTGATTGATAATCACATGTTCCCTTAAATCTCTACATCTAAGGATGAATTACTACACTTTACTATACTCCAGACATTAGGACTGATGAAATCAGTCACTGAACAATCAAGAAGGCTCCACACAACAACAAATCAGTGTGGCTGGCAGTACCAATAAAATGGAACACTGTAAAGATAACAGAGGGATCCCCACAGTGGCTAGAGTCAGTTGAACTAAAGAGAAAATATTACAGATCAGTTTCATCATTTTTTTTTCATTATGTAACTTAACGTGTAGGTGGGTTGTGAGAAAAGTGCACCCAGAAAAGACGAGCTGCACGTTAGTATAAATATCTGCTCTGTGACACACATTAGCCAGCTAATGTATTGTTTTAAAACCACAGCACCCAGTCAAAATACTGTATCCTTTCATATCTTTCTAGCTTTGTCTGTTAACCAGTATGTCTGAAAACTAGCATGTTTGTGTTACTATGGCAACCTGCATTCATGAGCTGTCATGTCACCGATCTTAGCTGAAGCATGACTGCATATTCAACAGGTGTTATTAATATGATGATTCCCATGCTTTTTTGGTTTATTTTTGTATAAAAACTTAAATTTTATCTACCACGAAAAATAAAATAAATAAACATTGTTCTTGAAATATTATTAAACAGAGAAAAGGGCTGGGAAAAGGGAGGTCAGTCTTAGCTATAACATATATCCCATTAAAACTCAAAGAATTTAGTTCTGCTGCTTTATTTTCTTTTGTGCATTAAGTGTGTGTTCTGTTCTTTGTCTCTCAGGTTCTGTGGCATCTTGACATCTTTCGCAGAAGCTTTCGACAGCTGACTACACACAAGTGCATGGAGGATTCTTGCATCTTCTGCGCTTTAAAGGTAAAAACACTTTGTCCTTTACTGACTTCTGGTGGGTTATGTAAACCTGAAGCAGTTCCCATTCCTCTGGTGTATTTTTCTGTACTGCACTTCCCACACATTACTTGTCCTTCTAACAGCACAGAGACACAGTGTTTCCTCAATTTGCTGCTGAGCAAGCTTGAGTTTGCGAAGGTGGTGGCGTTTTCGCAGTCTCTTCAGGCATCGTGGTTTTCAGTTCAAGCCCATTTCAAGTCTTTTTATAGAATAGTTTTTTGTTCTTCCTTTGTCTTTGTTCTTGCCGGTGTTCGTTTGTATTTTGGTTTGTTTGTTGTGTGGGGATGAAACTTTTTGGAGAGGTAGGGTCACTGAACAGTTCATTCGATTCTGGTGCTGATCCAGATCTTCACCATCATGAGACAGGGCCAACTTTAATATTTTTGCTTCTAACTCCATACATAATGTTTACAATGCTTTGACAAAAATTTAACAGTAACATCCACGTAAGATTTACCGTGCACCAAAGTCTGATCTTGATGCAATTAATAATCTGTATGTGGTGATCCTAAATGTTCAAATTTATAGGACTCACAATAAACTTGCTACTGTGAGACAACAAATAATGCTACAGACTTGCAACCAAGATCAAACTGTAGCTGAAACTGAAACAGATTTGATGCATCATCAAGTTACTGAGCTAGATCTCGAAGAAATTGCCAATGTGATTACAAATGCTAGGGGTAGGAATCACATTATGAGGTTCAAACTATTATGGGAATATTGCTTTTAGGTGGAATGGCATTATGGGGACCTGAGCTGAGGTTTGTGTCTCTCTGAGTGCTGTCTAGTTTAAATCCTTTATCAACTTTTAAGCAACATAAAAAAGTCATAATGCAGAAGAACAACATCTGGGCGCATACAGGGCGGGCCACGAAAAAGTAGCCCGGAGCCTTTGTCTCCTAACAGCAGTATGTGGGCTACTTTTCTGTGGCCCACCCTGTATAATACAAATGAAAAAAGACAAACTAATAAACACAGTGCATTTACAACAAAACAAGGCATCAGTCATAATAATAGTGATGTTCATGCCATATGATATTTTCTTAACTCTTGTGAGATTCAGAGGACACATCAGTCATTAATTTTAAGCATTCAGCAAAAACAGGCTTTGCCTTAGACCCTTCCAGTGGCAGAGAACAATCTCTGAAGCACCAGTAAAGTTTGAAACAAATGCAAGTCCAAAATCTTGTTACCAGTGGTAAATTAGAGAGACCTGTTTCCTAATAAACACAGCAGGGGAGAGCGTTGCAGTGGATTATGACACCTCTCTCTCCTCTTTTGTGTTAAAACAGAAGAAATAAGAGAGCTTTCCCAATGTACCTGCTTCGTTTGTTCACTTCCAACAGTCAACATGGAATAAACATACCATAAAGGTTAAGTGGTGTATAATGATAGTAGTGCATCATTTGGAGGTGTGTTAACCCTCTGCATCTCTAACTGACCACCCACCTTTAATCACTGTGTTTGGTTCTTACTTTATTAACCATTTCCATCCTTCTTTTTATGCCTCCATGCCAGCAATAAGTGGAAGGTTTTATGTTTTCGGGTTGCCCGTCTGTCTGTACGTTATTCTTCCATAAGCCTGTATGATTCTTGTGAACAAGCTATATCAGGAACATCTTGAGGGAATTTCTTCAAATGTGGCAGAAATGAACATTTGGACTCAAAGATGAACTGATTAGATTTTGTTGGTCAAAGGTCAAGGCCACTCTGACCTCATGTTTGTCCCATTCTTGCGAACACAATATTTCAGGAATGCAATGAGAGATTTTCTTCAAATCTGGCACAGGTGTCCACTTGGGCTCAAAGACGAACTGATTAGATTTTGGACAGAAATGATTTCCCAGTAAGCAGCTGCCTTACGGTGAAACAGCATACGTAAAAACCTTTATAAAATAGTTACAGACTGGATCAAGGTTGTGTTCCAGCAGCTGCTGATAGCTAAACAGAAGATGAAGACCTGTAACATCACGAAACCCTCATAATGAAGGAGCCTTATGCAGCTCTGTTCCAGCCATTTGTTGCATCAATGATGACAAATATGTGTCTGAGTGAAGGGAAGTGTGTGTGATGTGCTTTGAGGTAGTAGAGTGTGTTTGTGTGCAGCAGGGTCGATGTGTGTGTTCTACACGCTGCTGTCTCCAGCGCTTCACTGTAATTAATTGGCTCACTGAAAGCGCTGAGCTAGCAGACCCACGCTGGGATGCTACACATAGATGTACACACACACACACACACACCTACGCATGCACGCAAATCTTACTTGCAATGCTGCACATGTCACACATGTCAGGCCACTACACACATGTTCCTCATGATGTTCGCAAATCTTTCTTACCAGGCTTGGATGCCACACACACACATAGGCTTGTGGGTGTGTTGCGTGTGAGTCAGCTGTGGGTGCATCAGAGGTATTGTCACTGTGTTAAGTGTTCACATTTTCTTGTCAGTTTCCATTTCCCATGCTGTCACTGTCTCACCATTGTCTGAAATGAACACATGTATTATTGTTCTCACAGCGTGTGTAGCTGTTGTCCCTACAGCAACAGAGATGCGAGTCTTTAAATAACCGGCCCAGACACATGCTAAGTGAACTTTAATGGTGTGTTAAATTTTAAAATATCCATTTTAGAGAACCACAAAAACAAATGACGATTATGGGTTCTGTTATTTCAGAAGGATTTGCGTGAATTTCAGTTTATCAGCAGCGGATAAAGATGCCCGACGTTGTTGTAAACATAAGCTCAGAGACTGCCTGTGGCTATCCCTCCAGAAATCACTGCAACACTTTCTTTCACCCAACAGCAAAACACTTGCACACACTTAGATGCCAGTGCCTGTACACGCACACTGCAGGGAACAGAAAGAGATGAAGTAAAAGTAAAGAGGAGAAACAAAGGAGAAAGATGAATGAACGTAGGAGCTGGTGGAGATTGGTCCTGTCTTCACTGCACACACCCACACACATGTACACCCATACACACACATGCACACCTCCCACTCATACTCACTCTGCCTCATCTCTCCCTGTTCTTCTCCCCCCACCCGCCTGCCCTCCTCCCTCTCTCTGTAGGGTATATTCCCCCTCCATTCTCCTTGGCGCATTGCTGCAGTCAGCAACGCCACCGTAACACACACACAGACACACACCCTATTGCTCACACATTCCCCTTTTCCTCTTCTCTCTTTCTGTTTCCCTTTCTCTCCACACACACTGATACACACGCGCACACACACACACACACACACACACACACACACACACTCTGATCACTGTCAGCACAACTGCATTACCTTTCCTATTGCCAACCCTCGGCCTACACACACTCAGCCACGCTCACAGACTGAGGCCTGTTCTTTCATAGCATTTTCCCTCCATATGATCACAGCCATGCTGGTAAACGGCGTCCCAACTGTCAAACACGACTTCTGAAACACATCAAAGAGGGGAAATTAAACTCTGCGATTATGTCCAGGAAATGACTTCAGAAATCGTTTACTTGAATTTCACACCCCTCATTAACTTATTGTTAACTTTACTTCATGTGTTTGAGAAGTAGTTCAACATAAACCTGTGAAAAACCACAAATTTCTACAGTCAAAATGTCCTAAAGCCCAAGGTGATGTCTGATACAAGATACAGAAAAGCAGCAAAATGTCACATTTTAACAGCTTGAACTCCTTTGCCTTTTTTCTTAAAAATGACTTAAACTGATTATGAAAACATCTGCCAATTAATTGTCTATTTATCGACTAATCAGTTAATCTTATTAAAGATGCACTTGCACAATCTTTTTGAACATACTTCCTTGATAGGGCTTTTGTGTGTAGGTGGGTTTGGCCTTCACGAAGAATAGAAGCTGTGTTTAGTTTGGATTTATGTCGACAAACATAAATGTCTTTTTGTGCCATTATCGCTTTACATTTAATTGCAAAGCTGACAGTAAAATATCAGTGAAATAGCTTTCATGAATCAAAAGATTTGCAGCTCTCTTTGGTAATTAAAGATGTTTATCAGTCATCATGGACATAACACTGAGTGACAAAACACTCAGTATAATTCACATAGCACGTCCATTAATCAATACTTGATCCATACAGTATATTAGCAAAACGGTTATTCTTGCTTATATCAAAAATTTATTGACATTACTGCTGATGTTATGTGCTTGATTTGACACTTTCACACAAGTAAAATGGATCCAGTGTGGATACAGGAACCAGCATGAATACAAGCAGATGATTCATGTGTGAACTGTGACTGTCTTAGAATATATGAGTGTCACTTAATACAGTGTTTCTCAGCCCTTGCAAAACAGAGCACCTGGTGGCTTTTAGTCCAGTCATCTAATCAGTGATTGAATTACCACTGGGACAGAAAACCTGCAGTGCTCTCAGTCCGCAGCACCAGCTACCGCTCCGCCACCTCACACTCACTTGTGTTTATTTCTGCTTTGGGTTGTTTTAGTGTGGGTCAAAAATAGCTGCTCAGTTTTGCTTTTTCCATCTGAGAATTCTTAGCAACAAAGAATTAGGTCATTTTTATCCATTGGCAATCTAGAGAAAGCCATCCATGCTTTCATCTCTGCCTTTTAGGACTCGGCAGCGCTCTTCAGCCCAGCCTCAGTCAGAAGTTGCTCTCACTGCCTCCGCTAGAACTAAACTGGCCTCGGCTCCCTTAAATCACTGGATTTGATGCTCTGATTAACCTTATTTATTAAAACTATCATTAGAAAGCAGAAGGAACTCAGTGAGCATATACCTTTGCCAAGACTGTACAATACTTTAAATATGTTATTTCAGTAACAACGTTTAGAAATTGTTGCTCTGTATCTGGATCCACATCAAAGTGCACATAATGAAAGTCCTGCTGTTTGACAGGTGGTATCCATGATTTCTAGTGAAAATCTAAATCAATCAGGGATGCAAAGGCTTTGTACAAGGATAAATTGTGCAGAATTTCAAGCAAGTTATGATCATTGACAGATACGATGCACATTACATCACCACTTACCTCCACTATGCAAAAATGAAGCCAAAATAAGAGTCTGTGTAGTGAGACCATCAGACTGCCAATCAATGCTGCCAAATAAACTGAAATCCATCATCAAATAACTTATATCATCAAATAACTTATTAAAAAAAACCTACCAGAAAAGTGATCACTTGTACATAAACCAGAGTGATAATATCTACCAAAACCCACAGAGATGATCTCTGGGAAAAAATTTTGAGTTTTTAGTTTGGCTCTTGTCCCATCCACTAACAGGAGGAAGCAGGATTTATGACCTATACTGCAACCAGCCACCAGGCGACTCAGGGTGGCTTCACTTCTGAGAGCTTTCACAGAGTCCGTGTTTTATACAGTCAGTGGTGATGACCATTTCAGTCTGTCACATGACTTGTATAAAACTACACCACATGGTGCACCTGCCAACCAGATTTGGTTCCGATTGCACAATACATTTAAGAGTCAGGGCATTTAAGTCAAACAGGCTCATCTGTAAGACTACTGCAAACATAGAGGTAATATCAAAATAGAATATTATTTATTTTAGTGGACCCATTTTATAGAAGATTGAGTCAAATCTGTAATTCTCAAAAGTCATAAAATCTGTTTAGGTGCCTGTGTGTACCTTGTAATGATGTATCATATTACAAAAAATCCAGGAAAAAGAAATTTTCAGGATAACACAAGTAAAATCTGAGGGGGTGCAAGATGATAAAAGGGGAAACATAAACTAAAGTCATATTTTTTTTTTATCTAACATTATTTTTATACATAAGCTCACTATGGAATTAATTGACCCACAAAATACTGAAAAAGAGGGCAAACTTATAACCGTCCTGGCAGAGGTGACAAAAATCATACTTACTAATACACAGGGAAATGAAACATCGTAATCATAAAAACAGAAACCACTGAGCGGATGTATATGGGGTTATAACACTGGTCTGACAGCTGTCTGGACCTGTGAACAAAAATTCTGTTCTTTCCAAACGGACACATCCTCCTCTGTGCACTGCCCTCAAAACACACTTCAGTGGCCTAGCTTCCACTCTGTGGCCCCTGCAACAGTTTGATTTGGTTTCTATTTTACTGCTACAAAGCACTCTGAGAGCCTGAGAGCCTGTTTTGTCAGAGAAAAGTGCACTACAAATACCATCTATTATTGATACGGTCTGATATTGAGGCCAGCGTTGCTGTGAAGCATTTGTTTTAGTCCAGTTTTATTGTGCGGCACTTTGGTCGTGACAACTAGTTTTGCTTTATGGGTCAGTTGACAGAACATGGTGCTGATTTTTACAGGACAAATGTGTTTAGAAGGTTTTGTTTCAGTGTGAGAGAAGCAAAGTAAATACACAAGCGTGTAAATACAGTCTGTAATACTCAGTGTACAGTACATGTGTGCTTGGACACACTCCAGCAATGCAGGGGTCTTTCTATAGAAGCATTTACAACAGCAGTGAGATAAGGAAGTAATGGATTTATGTATGGGTATGTATTTCCATGTATGTGTTTGTGTGTGTGTGTGTGTGTGTGTGTGTGTGTGTGTTTTTGCAGAGTATCTTTGCTCAGTTTCAGTTCAGCAGTGAGCGTGTGCTGCCATCAGATGCACTGCGGAGCGCTCTGGCCAAGACTTTCCAAGACGAGCAGCGCTTTCAGCTGGGAATCATGGACGATGCTGCGGAATGCTTCGTGAGTCTGCGACACCTTATGGCCACACACACATACACCTACACACACACAGGTGAGGTGAGGGGCTGCCTGAAGGCGGATCTGAGAGAGAATCTGGGGAACTTCCAGATCTTTACTGCAGTCAGAAATCTGCAGGGGACAGTGGATATCCAGCACGGCAGCCTCAAAGAAAAAGGTTTTTGTCAAGAGTGTCACAACTTTTGTTTGGGCTTTGTGTGTTTGGCTGAAACTTGTTTAATTGTTATTATACAGCATTATGTTGTAAGGCATTCCTTGGTAAGCACAGGCCTTATTTGAGCCACATGAGACTGTCCATACATATTCCAGTGCACCTGCTGTTTTGTTAAGTTTGTTTATATACATTTTTGAAGTTGAATGGATACTGTGAAGAATATGAAATTATAAAGACTGATTTGATGTGCAGAATCACCACGTTTCCATGTTATGGTGTGTTCCTTGCTTCCTGTTTTGTGCTTTTATCTTGGTTAGATTTCCTGTCCTGTGTTACCTCACCTGCCCCAGCTTTACCCCGGTTCACAAGTTCTGTTCATTGCTTCCACCTGCTGCTCGTTACCCCTGGTCTCCTGTCTATATATCCTCCTCCCTTCTCTCAGTCTGGTTGCTGGCTCATCTGTTCTCCATGCCTCATTGCCCCCATTGTCCGTCTCCCTGTGTACCACACTCTGCCTGTCTGCTTTGTTTACTTTGTAAATTTTTGTATCACTTACCTTGGTTGCTTTTGGACTGTTCTTTTGAGTTTTTCCTGTCAGCAAGATTCTTGGTTAGTTCTCCGGGTTTGTTTTAGTTATTTAGAGTTTGTTTCATGTAGCTCCATGACCGTTTTGTACCTGTACTGTGAAGCCCTGTCAGGTTGAACATCTGTTTATCCCTTTGTTCCTCATAATTTATATTAAACTGATTGAACACTAGACTTTAGACCATGTCTGCACTTTGGGTCCTTCCTTGCTTGAAACACAACATTCTGGGCAGAATGAGGAAGGTGTTGGTTTCACATTATTTATTTTTGGGCACATGACAAAAGGTAATGGTGCTGCCCTTTGACAGTTAGTGGCACTTCCTTCAGATTGGAGGCAGTTATAGCTGAAACGGTTTAATAGTTTTTTTTATGCAGAGGAAATTAATTGGCAACTCTTTTCATAACTAATAGTTTAAATAATTTTTCAAGGGAAAGTGTTCAACTTTTTGTCCTTCTAGCTTGTTAAATGTGAGAATTTGCTGTTTTTGTCTTACATTACTGTTAATGTCATGCAGTATTTGGGGCTTTAGACTGTTAGTTGGACAAGACGGGACATTTAATGCTTTTGGATTTAGTGGTTTTTACAGTTTTTTATTTGTTTTATGAAAATAAAATGGCAGTCACAGATTTTACTATTGTCTTCCTGTCTTGTATTTTCTCACTTCCACATCAGTCTGTCTTTCTGCCTCTAAGTCTTCCACTGTGTGTGTGTGTGTGTGTGTGTGCGCCTGAAGGCCGTTGTCTGATCGATTAGAGCTAAATGTGTTCAGTCAGGGAATCCGTCTGATTCTTATGAAATATAGATGTTGATCCCACGGTCAGATTAACAAGAGCACCAGCAGAGAGGAACCATCAAAATACATACTGTACATACAGTGTGTATACGGTATAAACAAACACATATTCAACACACACACTATTTGATTTCTATCCTATGGGTTTCTTAGGAGAATCTCCTGATGCGTATCCACTTCCACATCAGCGCAGAGAGTAGAGAGGACATCTGCACAGCTAAACACTGTATACCACACCAGAAGTTCGCCATGACTCTGTTCGAACAGGTAGGAGCTTGTTCAGTCCTCCTGTCACTTTAAAGAGCCGGTTCAGTGACGGGGCTTTGATTAAAAATAATCATCACACAACTGTTTTTCAGAACAATGTCCCGTGATGACTCTGATGATATATTTGTGTTTACAGTGTGTCTGTAACAGCTGTGGAGCCACATCAGACCCCCTGCCCTTCATTCAGATGGTTCATTACATTTCTACTACATCCCTCTGGTAAGACCAGACGCACAGTTACATACACACACACACACACACACACACACACACACACACACAATACACTCACTGCAGTAAATCTGGCAGCAAGCTGAGGCAGGGTGGTAGTAAAGGTAGGTACATCACGTTCTCTTCTTCCTTCACGGGTCCCTGCTGAAGACTGAGTACACACATGTACACACACATGTACACACACACACATGTATATGTTCCTGCATACACACACAAGATAAGTATGTGTGCATCCTCACAGCTGTTGCATAAAAAGCGCACACACTCTCAATGAAATAAGGAGCAGGGGAAATAATCAATCAGATGTTTGATTCAGCAGACCCGGGGGAGGGGGGGCATAAATCTATAAGTGGAACAGTGGGTCGGAAAGACTGCAAGTGAGAGGGAAATAAGAGTATATATCACTCCATGTTCCTTTTGGAAATGGAACACAGTGGAGGAAATAAAGGGATGAATGGGGGCAGAAGTACAAACAAACACTGTGTGTCAGGGTAGTTGTGAGGCATAGTGGTACACTGTGTTTGTGCCTGTTATCACTGCCAGGCTATTTTTACCTTTAGCAGACCCTGTTGTTTACAGCCAAGGTGGTCCAGTATGCAGAAGTCAACATGAGATAGATCATCAGAGGGCAAGAAAAAGACAAAACAAATGTCTCATTCAAGTAGAATTCGGATACAAGTAAACGGTGTGTTGCTGGCTGGTGTGTGTTTCCTGCTTTCTTATTAGCCTTGCATCTGAAGAAGAGAGGGTTGAGCAAGGGGTTGAAACAGAGTAAGAGAGTAGAATGAAGAGGTTCATTTAGGGCTAGTGGAGAGGAGAGGACGAAGGGAGGAGGAGAGATTTGGATGTTTTTTAAAATCATTATTCTTAAAGGAATACTTCACTAGAAAAAGCAATGCTGATTCATTGCACACATACAGTAATCCCATACACTGAGCTGTAGACAAGCTCTCACATGTCAAATTGGTATTCACAGGTGATAATATAGTCGAGTCTGTCCTTAAATGCAGCTCAGTATTAATGTATCTTTGTTTAAGCTTCCTTGAAGGATATTCTCAAAAATATAGTTTGATTCCAAAAGTACAGCTTTTTTGAACAAATTATTCTACAGCAGTTGTAACTTCTCCTTTAATAACCTTAACAATGTTGTTTCTGTACAGTTCCATCCCTGTAGGGGTTGTCTTTTAGCTCAACCACATCAGGAAGCTCAAAGATCATGATTAATCAGACAGGATTTAGAAACTTGCTTGGATTTACATTTTTTCACAGCCTTAATTTGTGACAGACTAGATTTGTTTTTGCCTTTTTATCTTTTTTTTTTTTTAATTAAAGCAAAAATTGCCTGTAGGACTCGGGTCGGTGTACAGCACGAGTGTGAATGGTTGCTTAAGCAATATGCAGCACATAATTTGACATCATTTGTAAACAACTGTTCCCTTTTATGTGGTATTTCTGACCGAACATCTGCAGAAAGTTTCTTTTCACATAGTCGTAGTTGGACCCCTTTTTACTAGGGCACGTGCCCCAGTAAAATCATACATTCAAGGTTTAACAAGCTCCTATATTTGGCAGTGGATTAATTTAGAATGATAATAATGGGAAAAGATTAGATTTGTTTTTCTAATCCAGAACGTCAAAGCAAAATACAAGCTGAGGTGTAGTGGTCAGGGTTCATACACCACCGATCTTATTTGACTAGAACATTACTGACTCCTGTAAATGAACATCAGAAAATTCTTTAGAGGCTGAGACAGTGAAAAAATTCACAGAGATGATGGTGAAAAACTGTCAGGTTTGCCCGGTCGATGCACAGTCTCCTACTAACTGTATGTACAAACTCTGTTCTTCCTCCGTACTTTCCACCACAACCAGCCCAGGAGCGAGTCCCAGCGTCCGCAGCCCGGTCTTCTCCTCATCATTCAGCCACTGACTGTATTCACTTCTGCAGCTCGACACCCGGTCCCACTTCTACCTGATTATTCATTTCCTTGTTATATTTCACTGTAATTAAACTTAGCACTGCTTGCACTGAAGTCAGCCACCTGGGTCCGTCATATTTTTGTGACTCGCTCACCCCTCGTTCCACTAGTCCCCGCCCAGATCCTTCGATACCTGAACCAGACATCTTTGACGGCAATGTGGAGAACGATAATGCCGGGGCTTTCTGCTGCAGTGCCGCCGGGTGTTCGAGCATCAACCACGGACATACCGTACTGACAGAGAGAAGATCAGCTATGTCATAAACCGTCTCCGAGGAAAAGCGCTGTCTTGGGCCGAGGCTGCGGACTCCAGTGGTCTACTCATCGGTACCACCATCACGGAATTTTTGGATGACATGAGGTCTGTTTTTTCTCCTTCATCCCACCAGAGCCAAGCCTCTAGGGAGCTCATGACCATCCGTCAGGGGGCTCGGCGGGCCCTGGACTATTCTGTTGACTTTCGGGTCCTTGCTACGGAGGCCGGCTGGGAGGACCGCCCGTTACGTGTGGCCTTCTGGCACGGCCTCAACGATAATATTAAGGCCGAATTGAATACTAAGGACGAGCCCCCTGACCTTCACTCCCTAGTCGACTTGGCCATTCGAATCGACAGACAACTGGGTTTTTGTCATAAGGAACGAGCAGAGCAGCAGTCGGCCCCCCAAACCCGAGCCACAGCGGAACCACCAGTCGAGGCCCGGGCTCATCTCCGTATGGGGGACTCCAACACCAGCACCCGCTGTACCCCAGAGGAACCGATGGATCTAGGACATGCCCGTCTTCACCCCGAGGAGCGGGCTCGCCGTATCTGCACCGGGTCATGCCTTTACTGTGTGGCTCCAGGCCATCTG